CTAGGACTCGACCCCCCCCCCCTCCGCGATATCGCGCGGGGGTAAAGAATCCCCAACTTTTTTCAAAAATTTGTTGTCAACACAACCAAAGATAAAATTTACTTTCGATACGCATGCATGTGAACGTAAACCCATAATCATCTCTCATGGATATTATTAATTTTCAAATTGAACTCAAATCAAACTTATGAAAAAATATGTAACGAAGAAGAAACAATTTAGATCTTGTTTGCAACAAATTGAGAACAAATGATATTTTTTTAACATTGAAAATATGTATCTTATTATTCGCCGAAATCGGCATGAGGAATATATCAAAGTTTCACAAGACACCAATAGGTGTTTACAAGATACGAAAGGCAAAGATTCAAGGTGTGGAAAAACAATGTTACTCCACAATCGGTTGGTGATAAATCCCCACCAAAAGCTCTCATGTTCGTTAGCCGACTCTGCCAACAAGAGAGCCACGAGGGACCATCACGAGCGATGTATGATTGATATCGATGCTCCCGTGTGACACTAGACGCAATCAAATCTGCAATGCGGTTCATCGACCCGGCCACCGATACAATGTTCCAAAATTCAAAAGAGTTAAGGAGTTGTACCACATACATGATTAGATGGCGAAACAGGAAAAATACCTTCAAATCCATTGTTATTGGAAACACTAGGACTCGAACCCCTCGCGAAATCGGGGGGGGGGGGGTAAAGAATCTCCAACTTTTTTCAAAAATTTGTTGTCAACACAACCAAAGATAAAATTTACTTTCGATACGTATGCATGTGAACGTAAACTCATAATTATCTCTCATGGATATTATTAATTTTCAAATTGAATTCAAATCAAACTTACGAAAAATATGTAATAAAGAATAAATAATTTAGATCTTCTTTACCTTCGCCGGCCATATCCACTGGATCCTCCCGATACAACCCCTCCACCTCCACCACCGCCCTGCCCTTCACGGACTCAGAGTCTCTCTGCTGCTCCGGTATGTAATATTCCTCCCCCGCCCCCTTTCCCCCACGAATCCGGCTACATTGCGAAGGATATAGTTGTTTGTTTTATCCGTCGGTGTCGACTCAATCCAGCTTCAAAATCAAGTGTACCCTCCCTCGCCGGAGATAGCTCTTGCAGTAAAAACCGGCGATGTCAGAATCTTCTTTGACGGGATTTTACCTTACCGGAGTCAACGCCAGAACCATCGACAAAAAGCCGCAACCTTGGTCTCCGAAACCGAAGCCGTCTCTGGTCATCGAGTTGCAGATTTGGGATGGGCCCAAGAGGAGGGCTAGTGATATGATTGGGCTTTCAAGCCCATTTCCGATTCCTCGGGCTTGGACCAAGAGAATTATTAAAATTGGGTTTCCTGGTTTTTTTGGCCCATCTCTATTGATTTTACAATGCAGATTTTTTATACTTTTGCGAGTGTTGGCTTCTCTTCTTTGAGAAGTACACAATTTTCTAGATTCTCAAATCCTGTAGTGTTTAGTGATTATATCCCTTCTATTGAGAGAAGACATAAGTTTTCTGGGTTCTCAAACCCTGTAATTTACCCCCGGTGGAAGAGTTCATTTCCACCCTCTTCCATCTCTTTGAGATTGGTCGTATTTTCCTCCCTCTCTTGGAGAGCGGTCGAATTCTCGAGCTTTATGCCTGGTTCTTCAAAGTCACAATGGAAACTGACTACCCTGAGACTCTCCGACCTTGCCGCGAAGACCCTCTTGACGCATCTGAGACATGTCTTGGATTCGCTGTCCATCTTCTACGATGATCTATCTGCTTTATGTCTTATTGCAATTCATTTATGTTGTATTAATGATGGAGGATGCTTAATTCCCTCCTTTTGTACTCTGATCGTTTAAATTAATGAAAAGTTTGTTGACAAAAAAAAAAGACATAACTCTTGACAAAATGATTATAATAAAAAAAAACGCAACCTTTGACAAAATGGTTATATCGAAAAGACGCAACCCTTGACAAAACGGTTATATCGAAAAGACACAACTTTTGAAAATAACTATTAAAAATAACCACTAAACAGTTTGTTACGAAAAATCCCGAATATTTTAGGGTTTGCTATTATATATAGATTTAAAGTTTTGAGGTTTGCTATTATATATAGATTTAAAGTTTTGAATCATATATAGAATAACYTGAATACAAATCTTAAACTTTTGTAAAATCTCAGTAAYTTCCAYGAYTAWTAGAYYYYCTAAACAAAAAAAGAGTATCACTATTTTCAACACCATGGCACCGAATACTACAATTCTCTCGTATAATCCTTTGTTATGTACGAATATATACTCGTCTTTTGGTAAAGTCTTGTTAACTTTAAAATATAATAGTAAAAATATATGTATTTAAAAATAATTTCAAAATAATAGAATGATGTCTTTTTATCTTTCTTATGCTTTAAGTGAATTAAACAGTTAGTAGTCATTATTAACAAAAAAGTTCAAAGGAAAAGGAACAAAATTATATAGGCAAAATTGTTTTTCCAAAAAGAAGCCATCCTTGGAAAATAACCATAAAGCATATAAGAAAAACACAACTCTTGAAGAAACGGTTATATCGGAAAGTCGCAATTCTTCATTAAACGGTTATATCGG